GGGGGGGGGGGGGGGGATGGGGGATGGACAAGTCAGCATAAGAAGATAAGAATCTCTCCCCCTCTCTCTCTCTCTTGAGTTTAAAATCTCCTACAAGCAAAAAGAATCTTAATATAAAATATATATATAATTATAAATTAGGATTTAATTTTTTCTTTCAATATCTCATATATCTATCAGTTTTGATGAGAAAAATAAGACATTAGAAAATATTTTGAGATGCTTTTAGATTTCTCTCAAAGGTTTTTATCTATGTAAATTATTCGAGATTTATACAAGACGATATACCAAAAGAGTTATGCTTGAGTGGAGATAAATTTTATAATTGATCTCATAATAATAATATTTTTTTTTTCAAAGATTTAAGCAAAGAGTGTCGAACTACACAAATAAACCAGTAAAATTTATTTTGATTTGCGAGTTTGCTCTTTCTCCCAAACTTTGATATAATCACAGGTCGAGGACAATTAAATAACAAAAGGATTTAATAAATAAAAAAACATATTTTATTAGTAGAATTTCTTTAGGTGACTCTATTACGATAAGTTTGTTCTTCGATCCTCCTGAACCATGTCACTTGATGCTTATAGGTGTGAGTAGATCTGATTTGATTCAAACTAGAATTGAACTAAAATTGAACCAATCAACGGCTCGACGATTTTGAATTAAACCACAATAGGGTGGTTTAGTTCCAGTTCCTACTATCTACAGCTGAAAACGATCATTCAAGGTTTCCATTTGATTTCGGTTCAATTCCAAATCAATCAAAAAAAGAAATATATATATAAATATATATTTTAAATAAAAATAGATAATTTCGATTCAAAACCCTCTGAAACCAATTCGGCTGATTCCAAATTCAAATGGTCGGAGCCACTGGTTCTGTTCTACAGGGGTCAGGGCTGGCTACGAGAGAATTGTAGCAAGCTTTATGATGGAGACATGCCTTGGGTTATAGGCCCTTAAAGCGATCTCCAAAGCGGTCGCTACTTCTCTTGCAAATAGGTTCCTGTTCCTCCTGAAAACCTATGCTGGCTTTCAATCTACTGCCTTCCATGCCTACTATGGCATGCGAGTCTGAAATCTCCCTCCCCTGTAAAAACCACTACTACTTTTACCCTGCATGCAAACACCTAATAGTAGCTTCCCTTGAATTCCAGTCACAGCAAACTGAGGTGTGGTTCCCACAGAGGTAGAGCGGGCAGTGCGTGCCGTGCCAAGTCAAGTCGTAGGTTGGTCCTTCGACTGAAGCGAGCTGCATACCGGTCACCAGATTCTTCTGTGCTCACTGTGCGGATCAACCCAGGGTTCTCCAGTACTTGTCGAGATCACCGGAGTTCTGCGAAGGGTCCTTCCAACCTAAACCCCTTCGTGCAAGATAGGCCTAAGATTTGACAAGCTAAAGCCAGATGCATCGAGTCCTAACTAGCGGACCAAAGTACAACTGTGCTTCATCTCTTTCGCCGCTGATATGCGTCCCTTCACCTCCGTCGCCGTGTAGCGCAACGAGGACAAACAAAGTGCTTGCGTGCGAGCGAGAGAATGAGATCGATCATGCGTCAACCTGTGCTCGCCATCGCGTTGTTGTTGTGGGGACTCGGGAGGCCTTGCTGCTCTGCTCAGGCCCTTGAGCTGACGCCTCATGATGTTGCGGCCATGGATACAAACGAACCGGCGAGCAGTGCATGTCCTTTTGTGTTTCCTACCTTCCAACTGCTTCCTCGGCACTATGCACCATTTACCACCACCATTATGTTACGGGTGCCCAGCGTTTGTGCTCTCTAACTTTTACCCTCCCCCATTCTTCTGATCGTTTCTCACTGTTCATTTGGTGTGGTGGTACTTCAGACTCATCTTCCTGTTTCACACCTCTTTGACATTTTTGGTGGCACTTGAGAACATGTCAGTGATTGCTAGTTAAGATTATTTTGCATACTTCTCCTTTTAATCTTCCCTGTGTCTGATCATGAAAAGTACAAATGTGTCACTTTAGCCTGATGAATTGAAAAGGACATGGTGGTGTACCGTAGCGCAACACTAATGGAAGAACATGGAGGGTTATCGAGACAAAACATAGCGAGCGCTTGGCGTTTGCGATGCGTGAGTCATAGGACCCTTGGAGAGCTGAAGCGACTTCGAGAGAAATGGAACACGCAGACAAAGCTGGAGAGGGAACACAGGCAGGCAGGATCGGGAGAGGCCCCGCCGCAGCAACAGCGGCGGGCGAGGCCCACCTTTCATTCTAGGAGGACCGGGGGAGGCCCCGCAGCCGCAGCTGCGAGCGAGGCCCACCTATCATTCTAGCAAAATCCAAGAGACAGAGATGGATGGCAGGGTGCTCGAGATTCCAACAAAAATCGGATAACAGAGCACCAACCGAAACGTTCTTTGCACTCTTTTGAGGACGGAAACAGAGTAAAACTTCGGAGGCAACACAGTGCCTACAGGAAACGAGGAGGTGGCCATGCTAAACACCGAGAAAATTCCAGCGAGAGGGACAGATCATGAAGGCTAGAGTTGCTTGCAACTGTACGATGAGTCTCCGCTCGACCGAGTACAACTACGGTTGCAGAGGATTTGCTACGCCCGCCCGGGCGTAAGCATGATGAAGGAAGAAGCGAGTCAAAGCAGTAGACCCTGAGCGGCCTGCCATTCTCGGTACGGAGGACGTACGTGAACTGGTGCCGGAACCAACCACATCACGGTCCTTTCTGCTCATACGAGCCAAATGGAGAGTGGGAAGGGAAGTATGCCCCGAGCCCACCTCGGGAATAAACAATCGACACGTGTGGTGTATCTGTGTACTCTCCCACTATATAAGGGGATGTGTATCTCCCAAGGAGGTGTGGACTCCCCCGTGCTCCCTCCCAATTAGCAGGCGGCAGCAGCGGCAGAGCACGCGAAGGAACCAAAGAGCCACTGCCCGCTGCAGCACTCACGAACTGGAGAAGTCTCTTTGTGCCGTGCGAAGCTTAGTGGAGAGACAACGAGAAGCCAAAACAAGGAAGCAGCAGAACCATGTGCAACACCACACCCTCCTCTCCTCCCTCTTTCCCCTTCGATACGAACTCTCATCTCTTAAGTACCCACAAGCTCCGTATGGAGGATCTCCCTCTCGAACCCCTTGACCAAGACCTCCACAGATGCCCCGGTCTTGCAGAGGTAAACGCACTGCTACTCCCTCTGCCACACCAATGCATGCACACACTTGGTGCTTTCGCTAGCCGATATATAGAGATGCTGACGGTTGATATGCTTTGCTCGCATGAATTGGATTCAGGCGGCAGAGGAAATGAGGGCCATAGGGAAGATCTCTATCCCCACGGCTCTAACTGGCCTCGTCCTCTACTCGCGCGCCATGATATCGATGCTTTTCCTTGGCGGCCTCGGCCAGCTCGAGCTGGCGGGCGGCTCCCTGTCGATCGGGTTTGCGAACATCACTGGCTACTCCGTCCTCTTCGGCCTCGCCATGGGCATGGAGCCCATTTGTGGCCAGGCCTTCGGCGCCAAGCAACGCAAGCTCCTCGGTCTCACTCTGCAACGGACCATTCTGCTCCTGCTTTCGGCGTCCATCCCAATCGCCTTCCTTTGGCTCAATATGAAGAGAATCCTCTTGTGGTGCGGGCAGGATGAGCGGATCTCCTCCACCGCCCACATCTTCATTACATTCGCGATTCCTGACCTCTTCTTCTTGTCAGTTCTCCACCCTCTTCGCATCTACCTGAGATCTCAAAACATCACCTTTCCGGTCACGTACTGCTCGCTCGTCTCCGTCGTCCTCCACTTGCCGTTGAACTATCTCCTCGTCGTGCATCTCAAAATGGGTATCGCGGGCGTGGCCCTGGCGATGGTCTGGACCAATTTGAACCTGTTCATATGCTTGCTTCTCTTCGTCCTGTGCTCTGGCGTGTGCAAGGACTCGTGGGTGAGGCCGAGCATGGACTGCCTCAGGGGTTGGTCGACGTTGCTCAAGCTCGCCGCACCGTCGTGCGTGTCCGTGTGCCTCGAGTGGTGGTGGTACGAGTTCATGGTACTGTTCAGCGGCCTGCTGGCCAACCCCAAGGCAGCAGTTGCTTCCATGGGGATACTTATCCAGACTACGTCCTTGGTGTACGTCTTCCCGTCGGCGTTGAGCCTAGGGGTGTCCACCCGGGTCGGCAACGAGTTGGGAGCTAACCGTCCGGCCAAGGCCCGGACCGCGGCCGTGGTATCCTTGGCGTGCGCCGTCCTGCTCGGGCTCGCAGCGATGGTCTTCACGACTTCGATGAGGCATCAATGGGGGAGGCTGTTCACAAACGACGCAGAGACTCTGAAGCTCACAGCATTGGCGCTGCCAATCGCCGGGCTGTGTGAGCTCGGGAATTGCCCACAGACCACTGGGTGCGGCGTGCTAAGGGGGAGCGCGAGGCCGACCACCGGGGCCAACATCAATCTGGGCTCCTTCTACTTGATCGGACTGCCTGTTGCCATACTGCTGAGCTTCGTCGGGAAAATGGGGCTCCCGGGGCTGTGGCTGGGGCTGCTGGCGGCGCAGGCGTCGTGCGCGGCCATCATGGCATACGTGCTCGCCGGCACAGATTGGAGGATGGAGGTGGAGAGAGCCAGAGAACTGACAAGAGCTTCTAATTCTTCTCCTCCTCCTCCTCCTATCGCTCCCATCACTGCTGATACTAGTGGCATCAACAGTGTTCTATCACGTTCCACCAGTGAAGACAAAAAGAGGGCAGCTGCACTGGAAGGGATTTTGTGCATGAATGGCGATGTGAAGAGGGTGAGTAGTTCTGAAACAGATCATCTCATTTCCTATGTGTAATGAGTGCACAAATTCTTGTGTCTTTGCCCTTAAAACCTTCTCTATTTCCTTCCTTCTTTTCCTATTCTAATCTGATGTATGGTTTGAGAATTATACATGAATCTAATATGTCCATCTTGGTAACCCTGAGAAGGTCATTTCTTCCCAAGGATACGCAGTTCCCATCGGAGAGCAGATGGGACTTCTCGAGTAGAGGTACATGCAGAATCCAGCACGCAAATGTCACCATCTTCAAGTGAAGTTGCACAAGTACTGCAGGTGATTGCAGAAGTACTCTTCCTACTCGTGTTCTTTGATAACTCCCATGGCAGCTGACTCTTTAAGCATTCCCAAAGCTGTCCTCCTAATGATACACCGATAGTTCAACAAATTGGTAAAAGCTTAGAGCACCATCATGAGATGCCTGTGAAGTAAACAACCTTATCATCCCTGTACCTCCTCCACCAACTGGAACTCACCATTAAATCTTGGAACTTGTGGTGCTCTTCTAAGTACTCAATTTGCTGGAATGGTCGAAAGAACTCCCACATGCAAAAATATAGAGGGAAAACCAAGTATCGTCATCATCATCATCATCATCAAGCACCATGTCACTGCAGCTTTCCTGTTCTTTTGGCACTAGAAATCTATTAATTACAGTGAGGGTGGATCATTGGTGGAGATGCTGAGTTCGGTGGGGCATGGGCTGCTGCAAAAGAAGAAACAGGGGAGGGGGAGGCGACTAAAAAAGATCACATCGCCACTATTGTTTATATAGGCTTCTGGTTGGACTTTCGAGTGTCATGTCAATACCGGAGCTGAAGCAGAGTGGGTCAGTGCTGTGCTGCGCTGCTGCTCCTCCAAGCGTTCAAAAGAAGGGATGATGGGGAGCTTGGAGGGCAGCGCCACCTGTGTTCTTGCCTTAGGGCTGACGAGGCTACCACGCTAGGAGGATTCATCACTGCCAACCCCATGTCACCATGTTCTCCTTCTCATATTCTATTACTCCGGCATGGTTCTTTTGGAAGACTTGAGCTGGAGCCCGGAGGTGGCGTTGGCTGTTGCATCGGTGAAAAAGAAGACCACTATCTCTCCACCGCCACCTCAAGATGGGGCAAGAAACATGCGAATTCAAACCCATTGAACAAGGTGGCGTGCTACACTGCAAAGCAATGGTGATCTGATCTCATGGCGACTGGAGAGAAGGGTGCCACGCAAGGTGGGAGACCGCCCAACTCGGTCTCCGCTTGCCCATTTGTAAAGCAAAAGGGCTACGACTGAGCCACACGAGGCTCGATCGAGCATCTCCGGCGTGGAAGCAAGAGCGAGTGGTGGAGAAGAGAGGTAAACTGAATGAATGACTACTACTGGCTGGCGTGGGTTGGCCTTTGACCTGCTCCGCTCCGTCTTCCCTTAAAACGCAGGGCAAGGTTGGAATCCAAGTAACGTAAGCTGGAAGATGGAGAGAAGCAAGGGAAAAGGAGATCCCTTCGTATTCCTCCATGGCAACGCAAGAACAGTCCTGTTCAAACTCTGGCACCATGGATAAGATCCGACCGATCCACGACCACCTTTCTGTACGAAAACATTCGATTAGTGACGAGATCATCAATCTGGTCAAAGAGTGGTCAGCATCAGTGCATATACCCTAAGGGAGAAAGAGAGAATGCTGCAATCAACACTTCAGATGCAATGAACACACTGCCCGTGGTGTGGTTGTATACTCCAACCGTGAAGCATTTGCACAAGGCATATTATCACTTGATGTGCACACCTAATCACAATCATACTAATTAAATCCATGCAATCCAGAGAAGATTTGAGTTTGCCAAATTGACCAGCTCATCTCTTTTACTAAGCATGGTTGGAAGGATGTGCAGACAAATTAGCCAATTCCAACCTGTGGTGCAAAGCTTATTCAGGCTGGCCTGATTAAATGAACTTATACTACTAATCATGATTCCTTGAAACCTCTTTTTTCTGACAGTAGAATCCCAACCAGACATGCAAATAAATACTGCTAATACAACTCACCAGGAGCCAATGATGAGTGATGATATATGTTTTACAGTTACTTTATAACAATAATGTCAATTAGAACTGACGGCAGTAGAGAGGTATATGCTCAAACAATTATCATAATGAAAGCTAAATTTATAAAAGGAAAAATGAATACAGAGTAAAGACCATATGGGGTGAGATAAGGCTTCCAATAATGACATGAAATTATGATGAACTATGTAGGAACTGATAATGACAGAAATCACTTTCTGGTAACTTGAAATAAACACAAAGCAATGAAATAAATGGAAAAGCAGACTGATAGCATGACTCAGACAGCAAACATTTATCAGGGAATTAAATCTAAAAGTATACTTGCCTAATGAAAATTGGCCTGACTTACAAATTCTGGAAAATCCATCAGTATCCAAGTTGCTAAAAACTGAATCAGTCCAGACGAACCCAGTAAACATATAAAAGGGGGCAGCCCAGCCTCCATAGTACCTAGCAATGTAAGCAAATATACCAGGTGCGGTCTGGCCTCAGTGAAATAAATGTGTCCTGTTTCCCTGAGCAAATTAGGGTTAATATTTTACTTGCATGTTTCCATGACAATACAAAGGTAGATCAGAATAACTTGATCCAATAGAGTATTAACCCATAAGAAGCACACCTTCACCATGGCTCAAACTAGCTCCCAATCTGTTGATGTTATCAACTCAAATGCAGAAGATTGAAGAAACCTACACAGTGATGCACTGGTCCTGGAACCACATCCTGAAATTTGCAGCAGACTAGCGGCCAAACCTTCTGGTTACAGACTTTGGCACCCAGCTGATTCAATTGGAAGATTTCTCTAGCCTGTTAAAATGAAACTAATCTCAGTTAACGTAGAGAAACAAATAATTTTCTCATGTGGTCGAGTTTGGAAGAGAGCTCGAAAGAGATAGCACCTTGAGATTTCCTCGACTGCTTTAATCACTTGCTAGGAACTAGTTTCCAGCACCTGGCCTCCAAATATGATTTCATCTAGGACAGTATGCATCTGGGAATAAGAAATCCACGTTCGCATAGTTTACATGAAATCTTGTGGAGCCCGTCTCGGCCTTCTAGGTAAACAAGTCACTTTAGTTTTCATATAAGATGGGACATGATGACAAGGAATGAAGCAAATTATTGTCTTCTACAACAATAACACATCTCAACAACTCATATGGCTTGTCTGTATTATCAGCAAAAGAAAATATACAAAAACACAATTTTACACAACGTACTTTAGTAGTTGCATTGTAAACACATCTACAACCATTAGCATACAATTTTTTTTTTCAAATTCTAAATTATGGTTTTTCTTGAAATTCTAAATTATACAAATTTCATGATGCCACAATTAACTTTCTAAGATCTTAAATTTGTCTTTTTGTTTTGGAAGGTCCAAATTAAATTTCTCATCAATGAAAATTAATTGATGTTATTAGAAGAATGGATTGTATAAAGAGATAAAACTTGAACATGTAATATGCAAAAATAAATGAATTTGACAAAACCATATTGTGTATGCTAAAGTAGGGGAAGAGAGAGAAGCCAAATGTTGAAAGTATACCCTCTGACTAAAAAAGACAAGTGAAATCTCTGCCCAAGTAACCATTGCTGTGTCACCAAGAATATATCTTATCCATTGGGCGAACCCAGCGAATGAGGCTCCTACTAATGCAGAATCTGAGGGTTACCTTACAAATAAAGAAGTTGTTCCAGTATCTTGAACTGTGGTCATCCAAGTCACAAAAAAGCAATTTATCTGATGTACTAAGGCTTGTCCTCAATATATCTTATCTATTGGTGGCACATATATGCATACTAAATAATTTATTCTTTTAGTGTGAATTTCGCCCTGTTCCTACCTATTTAAAACCTACTCATCACAAGGCTATATGTCCAATGCCTAAAAGATGCAGTTGAGAAGCATTTATAGAATATGGAGGTCTCCAACTAATTGGCATGATCTGATGTAAACTATAAATATGATGATACCCTCTTGGATCAATTTTCATAGTAAATATAGACAGTAAGGGTATAGTAATAGATTCTTTTGTTGATTATAGATAGGAAACGTTGCTATTCCAAAGCATTCATTTCTACTTGAAAAAAACATAGCATAAATACATTCTATTTTATACATAAAAACAAACGCTAGAAGTTTAAAGAAAGAAAATATGAAGATAAGAGACAAGTAGAGGGAAATGAGCCAATATTTAAACATTGAGTTCAAGATCCAGTCATGCCAAGTTTAATATGAGTAGCTCATGAGTGGTGTTCTGAGCAAATACTCATTCTGTTATCGCTAATACTTCTAGCAAACAGGATAGAGTTAATTGATTCTCTGTAACATTGGTTTGTCTAACTAAAAGTGAACTTGCTTCAAGTTGTTTTGCAACCCATTCCATTGAGAACAAAATAACATTCTCCTAAGCTCACTTTCCCTAGCTTTTGTGCATTCTTCTTTTAGTTAAGATGAAAGACCAGATGCATTTTACTCGGTTACAATAGAAGTTTTCTGGAAAGCTTCAGCGGTGAGCTCTGGCGACAGGAGTCACTCCTCTTCCCCCCTATGAACCCTAAAGTTTCCCCACCCCCAAAGCCTCCAGACAAGCCTCCCAACTCACCCGACGATTCTTGCAAAGCCCCTCTCTCTTCTTCTTGACCATCATGCAACCCTACACTGCTGCCACAATCTATCCGATCAACCTAGGCTAGCCTCTTCAAGGGAACACAAAATGGCAACAAAGCTCCTTGTGAAGCCACCCTCCATCGCATTCAGGAGAGCTCCAATCTAGTGATAGAGCTCGACCTCTCAGAAGTGAAGACCTCCAAGGAGGCTTGGCAACACTGTCTCTATGAAAAATTCTTCGAGCGTGCACCCCCATCTGGAATTCTTAAGATCGATCCTGTTCAAGATTTGGAAACTCCCAAATGGAATTTAGATTGTGGATATAGCATCAGGATTCTTCGGTTTCCATTTCAATTCCAAGGAGGAACTATCGGACATCCTCACTGGAGGGTCGTGGTTTGTTGGTAGCCAGGCCCTTACCCTCCTGCCTTGGAAGGACAACTTCCAATCGTTGTGGGAGAAAGTGGAAGTTGCACCAATCTAGATTTAATTGCCAGGCTTGCCATTTGAGCTTCACTATTCGAGTGTTCTTAGTAAAATTGCCTCTAGAATTGGTAGATTGGTGAAGATAGATGATATCACACTATCTCGTTCAAGAGGGAAGTTTGCCCGTGTGTGTCCTAGTCAACTTCTCCAAGCCTTTGTCACAAGGTTTCTGGATCAAGGAGGGCTCTTACCAGTTTTTCCAAACAATATCATATGAAAATATACCCAATATCTATTTCAGCTATGGCATGATCGAGCATTGTTCTGATCTTTGCCCTTGTTTACAATGTAAGGCCGAACTCGAACAACCCTCCCCTCCTCTCCTTATTCCTCTAACATTAACTCCTCGTTTGAGGCTTTGGTTTGCAGGGTGACGGAGGTCTTCCATAAGGCAACTCAGAAAGGGTTGAAACAGGGTGATGACTAACTTGCAGACAAAGTAGATCTAGAGTGGGTCAGGATGGTGAAGGATGGGCCTAAAGCTCAAGAGGAGATCATGAAGTCGACTCCCTCCCCTTCGTTCTTCTTCTCCTCTTCTCAATCAAAGAAAAAGAAAACTCTACATCCTAGTGCCGATTCTGCAGATGCAGAGGCTCTCAATCCCCCGCCGCACCCCCCTCTTCTCCTAATCTAATTATTATACTCTCTTGGTCTTACAGGAGTGCCTCGAAACAAGAAGGAAAGGAGCAATTCATGGCCCTTATAAAAACACATCAACTAGATATCATCACTCTTCTTGAGACTCACCTGGACGAGGAGTGCAACTGCAGTTTCCTCCGTAGGCTAGGAAAGGCTTGGAGTGGGGACTTCGTCTCGGTTGTTGGACGTTCTGGCGGCATATTAGTAGCCTAGAAATCCTCCTCGATCAAGGCTACCACTATTAGCAAAAATACCCAAAGTCTTAATCTCGTTATGGAAACCCCTTGTATGTCCCCATAGATCTTTTCCGCAATATATGCAAGCACTTCGGTTCATACTCGTCGGTCTCTTTGGACTTTGCTCTCTGCTCTCAGTTCTGTTTCGCTTTCATAGTTTCTTTACAACGATTTTAGCACTATCCTTTTTATCGATGAAAAGCTTGGAGGTAGGCTGTTCCTTCTTTCTAGTTCTGTCTTGGATTTCCAGAACTTTGTTTTTAACTCTGGTCTTCTTGATTTTGGCTTTCATGGTAGTCGTTTCACCTGGAGCAACAAGGCACTTAGGATCTTTGCTAGGTTGGACTGTGCCCTTGGTAACCAGTATTGAATTTCTTTGTCTGATAAGATTTCCGTCCAGCACTTAGCTCGGGCTGCGTCCGACCATGCCCCTCTTCTTATTCAAGCAAACAAGATTAAACAGGGCTGTAAATCTGCTAAAATATTTTTACCAAGAGGTCAATAATATTGTTGCCTCTTCATGGAGAGGAGACATCAACACCCTTTACCCTCTCTCTGACATCCACCACAGATGAAAAACTTGAAAAGGTCGTTCTAGACACTGAGAAAGAAATAGTTGGCCTTGAAACTAAAGACTCCAATGGCATGCTTACCCCCGATGATCACTCTAATCTCCTCTGCTTGCACAATAAACTCACTGCTTTAAATAGATAGCTCCTCATTAAGTGGAAGACGAGCTAAAATTAAATGGGACTTGGAAGAGTGGAAGGGGATAAAAACATCATTTTTTTCACAAAGTGGCTACCCTCAGAAACCATAAAAACAGCATTAACCTTTTAAAACTTGATAATGGTGATCTTTGTCACAACGATCGTTTTGTTCTCACTTCTCTAATTGGTATCCAAATTTGTGGGCTCATTCTAGCTCCAAACCCTCTGAAAACTGGAATCTCATTCCCACTCTCCCACTCATTCTGACAATTCCATCTTGAGTGAACTGTTTTCTGGAAATTAGTAATTCTCTTAAGCCTACCGGCTTTATTGTCAAATTTTTCTTTAAATATTGAAAGTCTCTTAAGGACCACATCTTAGAAGCTTTCAACTTCTTTCCAAAATCCAAACATCTCCCACAAAGTTCGGGCAGAACTTTCCTGGTCCTTATTCCCAAACATGATAACCCTGAGAAAATCAAAGACTACAGGTCGATCGCTCTTTGCAACGTGATTTGCAAACTGCTTTCTGAGATCCTGGTTAACTGAATTCACATTCATCTTAACAAACTTGTTCAACAAGAACAATCTATGTTCATTTCTGGTTGATCCATCCATGATAATATTCTGATCGTCAATGAGCTTCCCCACTTCATGGTCACCTCTAAGGGCAACTCTCCTATGGTAATGCTCAAAATTGACCTAGCCAAGGCATTTGATAGCATATCCTGGAATGCCATCTTATAGGTCATGGAGCCCATGAAATTTCCTCCTATTTTTATATCTTGGATTTTTGCTTGCCTGTCCTCCCCAACCTTTGCTTGTCTGATCAATGGGATTCCTTTTGATTGGTTCTCTAGGCATAGAGGTATACGCCAAGGGGACCAAATCTCACCATATCTTTACATTCTGGTCCAGCAGATCCTCTCTTTGGTTCTCACTGACCTTGTTAGCTTTAACAAGTTCACCCCTTTTAACATCAAGGGAATCAAGGTCTCATATCTCATGTTTGCTAACGATTTGATTTTTTCCTTTAGGGCGAACCTAAAAACATGCAACAGTGTCCTTTCTACCCTCAACCTATTCGCCAATCTAACCAATCTCACGGTTAGCTTGGATAAATCTAATGTTTACTTCCCCAAGCATTGCAGTCTTACCACGAAATATGAAATTTGCAATCTGTTCGACATTAAGGAGGGATCCTGGCCCATCCCTTATCTTGAAACTTTTCTCTCCAATGGCAAAATCCAAGAGCGCTACCAAGGTCGGATGGTTGACAAGGCCCTTGGTAAGATTAAAGACTGGTACAAAGGGTTGCTCTCTCAAATGAGCAAAACTGTCCTTATTAATTCGGTTATTAACTCTATCCCTACCCACACCCTCATGAGTTCTTGGACTAATAAAAAAATCATTAGTAACATGAGCAAGGTCACTAGGAACTTTTTTTGGAATGATAATGCTGATCATAACAAATGTAAACTCATCAATTGGGATCAGATCGCTAACTCTAAGAGTTGCAGTGGGCTTGGCATACACAACCTAAAAATTATCAAAACTACCATTAATGCCAAGTGTGTCCTCCCTCTTCTAAACTGCGATATCAAGCTTTGGGTCAATATCCAGAGAGCCAAATACGGGGACCTTAACCCTTGGGAGAACAACAAAACCACTAGGGTATCCCATGCCCAACAATGTCTCTCCCACTTATTGAATCATCTTATGGGATTCTACATAAAATTATTGGGGAAGGTTGTAAAGTCTGGACCGACCCTTGGATCTATAACTGCCCCATTAATTGATGGCCTACTTTCTTTAAAATTAATGCTGTTGAGAACATTGATACTGTTGCTGATCTTATTGCTGAAGGGCTTGGGACTTGATAAAACTAAGGGAGGTGTTCCACCCCTTGCTCATCTCCTGCATCCTTTGTATTCATCTCCTACAGGTTCCCAGTAATGATGCTTGGGTTTGGACTCTTTCCCCGAAGGGTTCTTTAACTACAAGTAGTACTTATAGGTATGTGAAAGCTAACAAAAGCTAGAGGAAGAAGCATGGAATGGCTGGGAGGCGATGTGGCAGATAGAGGTGGCCCCAAAAATCAATACCTTTATGTGGAAACTTTTATGAAATCTACTCTCCATAGCTGATCTTTTCACCAACTTCCTTCACTTCTAGCTTGAGCCATGACAAGTTTGCCACCTCTTCAATGACTCTCACATTCTTTTTGAGTGTCGCTTTACTTCCTCCTATTGGAGATTGGTTAGGGATCATATCCTAGTTTCCTTCTATTGTTTCGATGAGTGGAATGAAGGATCTTAGCTTAATGAGGGATACAACCTTGGACATCTTGAGGGTCTTCGGACTCGAAGTTCCATCACAAACTGCCTTTGGCAGCTTTGGTTAAACCGCAATAATTGCCGCTTTTGCAACCATTGTTTCAGTGCTTTTCTCTACTGTAGGGCTATAGCTGACACAAATGCCATTTGCACAACCCAAGCTCTTGAGGGAATGGGCATGACACAACCCCCTTACACATCACAGGGAGTATCCTCTTGCCTTCGACTCAAATGTGATGGATCCTTTGACCCTGTTACTGGTCATACAGGTGGCGGGGATGCTGTTAAGGATATTGAAGGAACAATCCTGATAGAGGGAAGATTTCCCTGTGTGGCCACTTCAACGCTAATGGCGGTAGCGCTCGCATTGCTTGAAGGACTCAGGCAAGCCCTCCAACACAGCTTACACACATTGGACACATGGACGGACTGTCTCCAACTTGTCAATTGCATCAACTCCAACCCAAAGGTCTTCTGGAACCTCAAAACCATAATTTTGGATATACTTTCCTCTGCTAGCAGGTTGAATATTATGGGTTTCAACCATTTTGATAGGACACTAAACCCTGTAGCCTATGACCATACCCTTTTTTGTAGGGTACAGGGCACTTCTCATTTTAGTTCTTGTCTAGAGGCCTCTAATGCCTTAGTTTTTGCAACTCCTTCTTAATATAGCATTTTCATTTTAAAAAAAAAATGAAAGAGAAGTTTACTATTTCAGTTGCATAGCGGAGGAATATGCACAAGTAATCTGAAATTTTGGTGTATATGTTGACAAACTGACTTGTCAAAAAAATCCAAGAAATTGCTTACAAAACAAATGCATACCTTGTTGAAGTTAAACACTATGTCAAGCTCACCGACATTCTTGAAGCATCTGTCCAGTGTCTCAACAGGGACTGCAGTTGACAGAATCTAAATTAGGAACGAAGTTTCATACAAGGCTATGGGCACAATTAACTCACGATCGTCAAAAAAGTTCCATGAAAGAACAAACGATAAAATTTTTATAAGGAAATAATCTCTAGGTTGAAAGCTTGATTTGCACCTTGACTGAGGTCGAGCATAGGTAGTTCGTTTTCACAACCATCAAACACAAAAACAAAATACAGCGTGGCGAGGTGCTTGTATACCAGCCGAGTACCCTGCAAGAAAGATGAACCATGGCATTGGCAGTCACCAGATTGATAAGATAGATGGCAGGAAAGATGGGAATTTTCTTGGAGAGCAAACATCAAAGCCACAATCTATCTACAAAATTTCTAAGCAATGGCCAACATTGTCTGTGGAATTTTACGGGCCCTTAGCTCTATAAATCATCAACAATTTTTCTCTGATAAAAAATCCAACTTTAAAAGGAGGAATTATATTCAGCAATTAGAGGTACAATTGTAACAAAAAATCAAACATATAGACGTTTATGCTCTCCTCTTGGTGGCTTCCTCCTTTCTGCAACGAGAGATAAAGAGAGGACAAGATTACTGAGCCGAATATTGCATCTGCTTCGACGAAATTGCTAACATTGTCCGGTCTTCCCGATAAAACTACGGCATAATGACGTAAAAATATTAATGGAAATTTTGTAGCGAAGATATAAAACGAACGGAGTAAGAGGGGTGAATTGAGGGTTCTTTTCCATATTATTGGGATTACAGGCATCCGACCTGTGAAGACGCTGCGTATGAGCTCCTGCTGTTTCTCCGGGGGGCTGGACTTCAAGAGAAGAGCATGCAAGAGCAGTCAATCTAAAGAGACGATTCCAATTGGAATGCAAATATCAAGGCAGAAGAGAGAAAAAGGAGGAGATTTCGGGGACCCGGAAGTCATAAAACTTGAGGGGGCGGGGCTTGCCCTAGGTGTTCATCACGATCACCACGCGTCTCATGGTTGCCGCTGGGCACCCAAATCCAAAGAGGCACTCGGAACGGAGAGAGGTGGCCGAAGCGCCGCTCCAGCCAATGACGTTGTTTCCGTTTTTGAAGACAAAAAACAGAGGCGGAAATGTTTTTGGAAACGGCCTCTTCCATGTTGGAATTCATCGAGTCGAATATATATATATATATATATATATATATATATATATATATATATATATATGGGTTAAGTTGTATGTAATTTTGGTCATGAATTTTTTAAATCTTTATGGGTTACTCGTATATAAAATAATCTATATATTTTAAAAATATAATATATAAATCTATCCCATCAAATCTAAGTTAACGGACGTTAAAATTTACTTATGTAGCATGTTGACTCATAATAAATTATTAATATAATAATATATATAATTTAGGATTAAGATTCATTTTAGCTCTTGTAATTTTGGTCATGGATCTTTTAGGCCCTTATGATTTTCTCTATAAGATAACTCATATATTTTCAAAAACATAGTATATCAGCCTCTCCCATTAAGTTTGAGTTAACAGACGTTAGAGTCTGTTTACGTAGCATGTTGACTCATAAAAAAATTATTAATATAATGACATATATAATTTAAGTTTTAAGAAAAAATTAAGACCTCCATCAATGACGGGAGGAGGCATCGTCGTTGAATTGACCAACAGGGCATCATATATAATTGTGTTGAGTTATTGTTGTCTAGCAGGGCATCATACACACATAGTCTCCCGTACTAACGATGAGCTCACGAGCTTTTGGTCTTGTCTCAAGTGGATATGTGTCAACCAGTCCGACGCTAGGTATACAATAGTCTCTTGGTCCCTCTTTCTCCTCCTGAGCATTTTTGTCTCTATCGCCTCCCACTTCATCCTCTTCTGTGTTTCTACTCGTCGCGCCTATGACATGGTAGTTCGGTTCTTCTTCACTTTTACCTCCAACCTCCCTTACATTTGCCTCTCCACTTTCATCCACCATTACGACCACTATCATTTCCTCTTTCTCGACAAGCTAATCAAAGAGAATGAACGGGTGTGGGAGGGCTCCATAGACCAGCTCAACTGCTCCTACCACCTACTCTTCATTTTTGTGATATAGTGCTTTTCCAAAGGAGGTGGTTTACAAGGTATGGTAGTACTTATTAAGATCGGAGCGAGTGTCATTCGTGGTGGCGGGCAGTGCCGTCATGGCATACACCCTAGAGCTAGCAAGTGACATCCGGAAGCTCTTGTGCCATCGTCAGCATGAGAGAGTTATATGAGTACGACACCCTACTAGTTAGTAACGGTTCGATGCTACTGGTGGTGGTCGCTTTCATGATGATCCCTCCTTCAACAATTGATGGATGTTTCATTTTTTCAAAAGAATTTAAAATACACGTATCATTGTATTAATAGTTTATTGTGAATCAACATACCACGTAAGTAGACTTTAACGTTTGTTAACTTAAACTTGACGGGAAGGGCTTTTATAAGGGACATTCTGGACAGTCCTGCCACGTTACAATCAATGCCACGTACCGCCATGCCAAGTCAATAAGGAGAATACCCTCGCACGTCAAACCAGATCCCGTACCAGGGCACTGTTCAGTATGATCCGCCCAGGAAAACTCAAGACGACGCCATACGACGCCGTCCTGCACGTTCCGGGACGGCGTCGTCTTGTGCGGCCCAAGACGGCATTGTCCCGCACGTCTCGAACGGTGCTGCTCCGTATGCCTCAGGACGACAACCACGCGAAGGTACCCTCTCACCTCTCGAGAGCCGATTGTCGCGCCAAACCCGCGTACGGCCAACCCTCATATAGTAGTATAAAATCCTTAGCCAAGCATTCGGCCAGAGGAGGAGGAGGAGAAAAAGAAAAAAGAGAAAAGGAGATCCCACAGACCATTGACTTAATCATCGGAGGGACCAAAGTCGGAGAAGATCCAACGAAGGTCTTTTCTTTTGCAGGAAATCGCCACCGTCTGAAGTGAAAGCTTCACTCACGCCCCTAACGTCAATCCTCAGGGCAATAATTGACCGGTCCCGAGGACCAGTTGAGACGCCCGGAGATTCCCGACATCGCCCCATGGACCAAGCCGTGCTGACTCACTGTCCACGGTGTATTAGTTCATCAACATATTTGGCGCTAGAAGGAGGGCCATGTCGCTGAAACATCTCATGAGAGTCCTCCCTGAAGGAGAACAACTGGTCAATCACTCCCCCGCCGAACCCGGAGATCAGTCCTTCCCCGTCCCCAGAGACAGGGAAATCCTGGCCTCAACGCCAGATCGTTACTGGCGCTTGTTCAACGACCCGGGGTTGTCGCCCCCCGAACTTACCCCAGGACCCTCTACCGTGTTGCCTGAGGCATTCCTCAACCTGACTAAGAAAGTACAGGCAATGGCGGGGATGATGCAGACCCTCGTCCTGCTCATTCCCTAGGTCATACGACTGATGGCTATCCCGACCGACCCGACTCGGCAAAGGCCAAGCAGGGAACAAGTCGCGATAGGAGAAACCCGAGACAGAACGACAGACCTGAGAGGTTCAACTGAACATGACGCGCCTGCACCCTGCCAAGTCGCACCACCCGCCCTGAGCCTGACACCATATCGACCAACTTGGCAGATGGCTCAGTGAAAATGCAACTCTCCCGGGTCAACCATCGCCTAGACGAGTTCCAACGTGAACTTCAGAAATCGCGGAGCGAGCCAAACGAGGGCGGCTCAAGCAGATCCCCCTTTATCTAGGAAATACAAGAAAAGCCTGTACCCCTCAACTTCAGGCTGCCAGCTTTGGAGACGTACGACGACGGCTCCGACCCTACGGAGCATGTCACCGCGTTTCGGGCTCAAATGGCCCTCTATGGCACTTCCGACACGTTAATGTGTCGGGCATTCCCAACTACCTTCAGGGGCCCGGCACGCGCGTGGTTCAGCCGGCTGCGCCAGTCCTCGATCTCATCCTTCGACCAGCTCGCTAGGGAATTCAAGTAAAATTTCCTTGCAAGCACGCGACCCCGGCCTTCCATGGCGACCCTGCTCACGTTATCCCAACATGAGGATGAGACGCTCTCCCAGTTTGTGACACGCTTTGCCATGGAAATCCGAGGATTTTCGGATGCTCACCCTTCTTTAATCATGCAGACATTCCTAATGGGGTTGAAGCCCTCGAGGTTCTTCTGGTCGCTGATTGAGAAGCCGCCAACGACTATCCCCGAGATGCTCCAGGGCGCCAACCAGTACGTCGTTGGCGAAGCACTGGTGGCGGGAAGGCGCACAGACGGGAAGAGGCCAAGGGCCGAACAACCCCGAGGCGCTACCTCGACAGTCCTGGTGCAATCCCGTCGGAGGCCCGACCATCCCGAGCCGCTACTCCCAAGGCCTCTGTGTTGGAAAATCTTGGGGGCGACATCATATGCGCAGCGGAAGAACAAGAAAACAAAATCCCCGATTCCCAAAGAGATGTTCGTCGTCGTGCGAAGATTGGTGCGCAAAATCCGCGAAACTTAAAACTGCGTATAGAGTAGATTGCGTTACCTAGGGAGATCGTATATCCCTGTTTCCTTGCAGATCCTTAGGAGAGGGTGAAGGAGGTCAAGCGTCCTCCTCTCTAGCGGTGATCCACACAGTAGGGTTGCGACGACGCTCCTCAAAACTCCAGGCCTACTCTGAGGTGGAGAGGGAGAGGAGAATAGGAAAGGCAAGCAAAGACTCTAGCCCATGAGGCTCTGAATCCCTCCTATTTATAGAGGTCCCCTATCAAAACCTAATGGGTCCTCCCCTAGTGGGTATTGGATCTGCATCCAATAAGACAAGGGCTCCGTCGGATATCTCATATCCGAACCTCTACTCATCGCAATGCCTACCATATGTGTGTGACCCTCTAGGCCCAATATCGAGCTGGCCGTGAGTCATACCCGTCAGAACTCCTTCTAACTCAGTGAATTATTATCTCTGTAATAATTCACTTGACTCATCGACTATGGACGTACTAGGCCACTACGCCGTAGTCCCCAGACGATACAGGGGAATCCAATCCATTGAACATGTCTGTCCTCAGTTACCGTGTACCTATAGTCCCTCATCCATCTAATATCTCAGAGACCGTATATCGAGCATGGTGTTGTCAGACCCATACAGTTTCTACTCGAGTCTCGCTCTAATCGGATTCTCCTAGAGAACTCTTTCTCTCTCAACCCGAATGACCCTGGCCAGGGATTTGTCTGAGCAAGAACACATGGGATATTCCTCTCATGACGCCGAGAGTGGATGATCCTCTATCGACACTCAATAGCCCTCGTAAGGTCGACTACCACTCCTAATGACCAGCTGTACTAGATCTGAGA